TGAACGGATTTCAGTAGAACGGCTTGTACTTCAAGGTCTCTCTCTTACAGTCTCTCTGAACGCGCCCGCCGCACTGACTTTTGAGCGACGCGGCTCCTTCTTAGGGCCTACTTACATGAAGGTGGGGGACCCCAGGTAGGTGAGGTAACATGTGTCAAGTTACCCCAACTAACATGTAAACGTGATCACATTAAAATGAGAGATTATTTGGACAGGCGGGTTACCCCACCTAAGCGGGTTACCTCACCTACCTGGGGTCCCCCACCTCCATGTAAACAGGCCCTTAATATCTAAAACTTCCAAATCCCATGCAAAATGCAAGGTGTGTCAAAAAGGGACTATTGTAAAAGGCCCGATCTAGTAATTAACGGCTTACAACCAATAGAACGGCTTACGATGAATATTTTACCTAGTTTTACAACGAACAATAAAGTACCAACTGCAACAATAAAAGTTACGCAATAGCGTACACGGCAAAAAAAAAAACTTAAACAAAAAAAATTAGCATAAAAGAAGTAACTATTATTAATTAGGCATTCTATGACAGTTAGTAAACCATATTTTTAATATAATTTCTTTTCCTGATCAGCACAAGCCTCCTTTGTCAAAAAAAAAAACTGTTGTCAAACTACGCCGAATTGAAATCTATTCAGTTATTATCCATCTGGAAATTAACCAGTATTTGAGAGTTGTATAGATGAAGGATATCACATTTTGGAGAGGCAAGAAAATTCTGGGGGGGGGTGGAGAGAGAGGAAAGGAACTGTTAAGTTAGCCTGAGCAAGTGAACAACTTTTCAGTGCGAGACACAGTTCGAGGTAAAAGGAAATTTTTTTAACAGAAGAAATAAATTTGTAGTATTTATATTTGAAGTTCTTACTGGTCATTCTAAAATTGCGGATAACTTTGTGTTACCGCCAGTTTAGTCAGTTAAAACGAGCATTGAACAATTCCACCCAATGGCCTCTCAAAGGAGAGCTTTGATAAAGAAATAGCTAAATCAGTCGAAGTAAAGACAAGAACAATGAGAAAGAAGGAGAAATACCAGGATTCAAACACTTGAGAAGCGTTTTGAATCGTTAATTTGGTGTAGTAAGGTTATATTTTTTACTTGGTCACTGAGCAGGGATACTTTAAAGATATGTCTCGGTTCTCTTTCCGTGGGAACCAAACAGCATTGAAACAGCTGTTAAAGTACCAATAACGTTCTGTTTCTCTCCAACCTCATTGTAAAACGGTTCTTCAAGATCTGTTTTCGCTGTATGCTTTAAGTCGAAAGCTGTTAAGCAGCTGTCTTTTCCAGCGTGGGTAACTGAAGAGCCAATTTGCAAACTGCCAAATTAGTGTAGGAGGTTGTTAAACAAAAGTCATAGAGCCAGCATAATGCATAAGATATTGACATGCAAGCCGACATTTATTGTCATTTGAATATTGCGATAGGTGCAAATTCTGAATAATGAGTTCAACTTTTTTCCTTGTGTATAAATTTCAGTGAAAAATACAGCTTCAGCTACCAATAGAAGTAGAAGGCAAATAGTGCATATCATTTAGTATTATATCTAGTATTTTATCTGTAATTCATGTCACTCACTGCTTTACTTGCACGAGTTAGATACTACTCCCCTCTCCTCCTTACCCCACCCCCACCCCCACCCCCCAAAGTTGACAGATTGTAATTCCCGGTACAACCTCAAACTATTTTCTAAATCTTGCGCCATACAAACATCTCCTCTAAACAGAAAAAGAAAGCCCCCCTCCACATCCCCTATTCAACGTTGTTTTGGTCTAAAACCCAACGTGTATAATTCTCGTGTTATCTTAAGCAATACTGGATATGAGGAACGGGGTTGTTTCTCAACAGGTTTTGTCCGAGGTTGTAGCATTGGTTGGACTTTAATAAATTCCAATGTTAGTTGTATTTTGAAAGGCATTCAAGGCAACACGTTTCAACCTGAATATATTTCCACAAACACCTTGTTTAATTTACACCTGAATTGAAAATAGTAACTTGGAGGAAGACCCCCTCCAGACAAAGATTGACAGTCAGGACATTAATATGAGCTTTTCCAAATAATTTCTAAAAATACATGGCATTAATCATTAATCTGATAATAACCTTTTTCGAAGGTTTACTCAGCGGTTCTATTATGAAGAAAGGAAGTCAGTTAAAGTATTGAAGTTTTACTGGCACCAAAGCACGTCGCAGGCAAATAGAAAAACGGGCTAAAGACATGGAGAAAGACTACGTGCGAAAAGATCCCAGACTTCGTTTCCTTAAATTTCTTTTACTTTGTTCTTTGATGAGTCTTTGGATCCAAGGTAGGTTATCTTTGTAAGTAATTCAGTAAAAATTATATATTCTGTACGCTTTGTCTATAAGTAAACCCAACAAATTATTTTCACTCTTGAAAAAAAAAAAATAAAAGAAACGGGGCTCCCAAATTCCCCCAAGAATCAAGAGAACAAAGGTAGTCATTCATCGAATGATCTGAAAGGAAAATGTTTTTGAAAGAAAAGGAACTCCAAGTTCCGCGTATGCAATGTTACCACTTTGAGGTCATAAGAAAGGAAAAGAAGTTATTTTCTTTCAGCTCTACAGTCAACTCCTTTTATAGCAGGCACTGTTGGGGCCTTGAGTTACTGTCCTCATTACCAAGAGTCCGTTATAGCGGGAATTTGTTTCAGTCAAACATCTGTAAAATTTTGAGAATAGCGCGAAAGCGGGGGCCCCAATCCGCCTCCCTTTTTCCCTTTCCTCCCTACCTTCATCCCCCCATCCCCTACCCCTATCTCCTACATTTTATGGTTCCGAAAAAGTCAAAAAACCTTCTGGGTTTGTGATTTATTCACATTTTAAAGACAGCGCATTTATAGCAGTTTAAAGGGAAGCAGCGTTCTAAGGTAGTTAAGTTAGGGGGGTACCATAGAGGGCATATAACAGCGGTACCTTTTGTTTCAAAAGCCGAGTCTTGTTTTCGATCGACTAAATTTTAATTATGTCTTCACTGACGTCGATAACAGGGAAATAAAAGGTTAAGGGGTTGGACCTCAAAGCGGAGTGTTCCAAACTTTGTTGAGACCCTCTCCCCGGGAAATGTTACAACTAACTCTTTTAAAGAATAGACAGTTCCAGACGCCTTTGAACTGGAAAATCAGCACTGAGAAATAAATCATATGCTTGTGGAAACGATGTAAGAAAAGTGTCCAAAGAGCCCTTCTGTTCAGTTGTAAACTTAGCAATAATTCACCCGTTAATTTCCTGCTTCATTTGAAATAACCCTGACCAGGACGCCGAGGATTGGGTTTTTCATCACAGGCAACAGAAGTTGATTTTGTTTCTCAGCACGCTAAAACTAGCTGACGATTATGGAGTATGGAAACTAATAACTCGCTAACGACCTCAACGTGGAATTGCCCTTAGGCCGTTAGCGTCAGGTTAATTGCTTCAGAACCGTTAAAGCTGGTAACCAAAACAACAGAAATTGCACGAAAAAAAATTTACAACTGAAGCAAGCCAAAAAAAAATACTAGTGCGGATCGTCCCTTATCCAACATGACCCTTCTTTACGTTTGCAGCAAGCGAGTGCTAATTTTGGCGGGAGTACTGATGGCGACTGCAAGAGTACTGGCCTTCAAACGTACTACAGTATTTGAGAGCAGTTATTCTTATAGCATTTGTGCAACTAAACGATTTAATTTTAGTTTTCATTCAGGAAACGCAAAAATTCAAAAACACCGTTTAAAAGGAGAGCGAAGAGACTATGAAAGCTTTTAGGGGTAAGTTCGGAATAAATAGTTCAGGAAGTTTACCACCGACACCGGCGTTGTTGCAAGGTGGCTTGAAAAATGACTTTAATAATTACAAGTATGCTAATCTATTCCGATAATTTAGCTATTTCCCATCTTCAGCGTCCTGAAAATACAGCCGAAGTTCTCCTTGCGACACTCTCATAAGCGACCACCTCTAATTACAGGCAGCATTCAGAGAACACCGTTTGAACTGACTTTTAAACGCGCTGTAATGTAAAGCTCTCTTAAACAACAGTTCCTGTAAGGGGACCTGTCTTGTAATCACCAGCAGGACCGTTTCATTTGTTTTTAAGTTCTTATAACCTACCACTGCGTCGACACTTAAACAAAAGCATTAACTTCATGATTCAAATTTGGGGTAATGCAGAGCAAAAGAGCGAATGGTTCGTTGATTTGGAATCATCAAAGTTATTAAAAAAGAAACTCCTTAATATTCTTTTACCTAAATGTATTCGCAATAAAGAATACATGCCAAGGTGCTTAACAGCCCGTAAGTTTGTGTTGCTGCTAGGTAAAAATCCTGGTCGAGAGTGAAAAGAGAATGAGAGACTGGGAAGAGCTCCGGGCGTGTAAAGAGACTGTTTCTTAATCTAACATATTCCCAGGTTTTTTGCTAAGCTATCGTTAGTGACTGCCCTCATATCCGTCTAAATATGGTCGCTTACTAGCGGTCCATTGAGAAACGGCGAGCACTAGTTATGTAAAATTTACATAAGAAACCTGAAACTAAGGTTAAGGTTACGAGAGCTAATTTTAGCAACTGCCATTCAGCTAGCCATAGGCAACCAGAGCGCCTAAAATATGAATACCTACAGCAAAATTTATTGTCTTTGGAAATAGCGAAGCGTGAAATTTCCCAACTAAGTTTTCGGCTTTAGTCCGTGGGTGATAAAATGAGGATCAAATACAGTTTAAACTTCAATGGCGGAAGGCACAAAGGGCAATTAATATGTATTTTATCTGTAACTGAATCCAAGTCGAAGGAAGGCCTTCTCCAATAAAACTGACATCAAAACCGAGATGTTTTAATTGTTCAGTTACAACTAGGCTCCCATATCCATGCAACTTACAGCTTGATATATGTTAGTTACACGAGTTATATGAGGACACGCAGTGAATTGCATTAATTGATCGAGACAGTTGATTACTTGCTTCAAGTCGCTCAAACAGAAAACAGTTATACAGCAAACATGAAGAACGACTGCGTAGGAAAAGATCTCAAAATTTGTTTCCTTAAATTGTTTCTGTTTTTTTCTTTGACGACTCTTTGGATTCAAGGTACGACATCTTTGTAAGATATAGTAGCATTTTCTCGCTATATGTGCATCAGTACATGCAGTAAACCGGAAAAAAAATATTCCCTATTTAGCGTCGCTCTCGGTCCTTGTTTCACAAGTAACAAGAGGCAGGACATCTCTGCGTTATGTCAGTAATGTTTTAAAAAGCTTAAACAAAACCTAACGTAAACTTCCCAGAAAGCACCAAGAAGAAAACAAGCGGGTTATTTTTCAGCTGTGATAAACAGGTCTGTGTTTGCAAAGTGGGCATCGACTGTAGACGCCACAAAAGTAAACAGAAAAATGAGTCATTTTCTAATAATTTTTCTTGCATTTGCATATAAAGGCTAACTGAAAACGACGTCCCCAAAAGCAAAAATCGATCGTTAACAAAAGGGACCGAAACATATTCTTATAAATCGTTAATGTTGCCGATTAATAGAGAAGAAAGATTCACGGGCGATTGACATCCTAAATGGCAAGAAAATGCGATTGGCAATAAATTTCTCGCTAACAAATTCACTTTATACTATATAGCTGATTATATTCCGCAAGGTCATTCATTGTTTTTGTTTTAGTTATTTGTTTGTTTGGTTTCTTTTGTAGCTTTTTATTTTTGTGGTTGTATTTTGCTTCTTTGTTGATTTGTTAGTTTGTTTTTTTTGGTGTGGAACCGGTTGGACTAATCAACTTCCCAACGCGCTAAAATGTAGGCACGAATGTAGAATGTAATATTACAACGTCGACGTGGCATTGCTCGTTGCATGTTAGGCTCAATTCACCTGCAATTCGTTAACAATGATCAGAACAGCAAAACAAATATAAACAATACCACCTCATTCAACATCAGTTAACAAGGAAGTCATTGATGATTTCGGTGGGAACTGCAACGGAGACTGTGTTAGTGAGCAAAAAGGGCAAGGTTCTGTCGTCACTATACCGAATAGGTATAAAAATGAAGTATCTGGCATAGTATAAATGGCAGCTGCACGGAGCTGGAACAAGTCGCTCTCAGACATATCGAACATCGTGCTGGAGCGGTTGGCCGAGAGAGTTTGGTACACTAAATCCCAATCCTCACTCGGAATATTCACCTCGCCTCTTCTCATACTTTTTTGCTACGGTCCCAACACCTGTTACATACATATATACATAATCTTTATTTAAACACGATAAATTTTAAACCTATAAAAGCTTGTGGGGTCGTAAGAATTAAAGTAACCTAATCTACATGAAAACATATATACAAATTATAGCGGAGCTCTCGCGCGCGAAGCGCGCCAGCGGAGCACCATGGGTAAGAAAATGAAGTAATCTACCCATCCGAGAAAATTTGGTAATCACGTGACCGTACACCGACTGACCGCCCGCCCGCCAGAGAGACCGTCCGTCCGCACCACAGGCATACCAATGTTTACTCTCACACTTTCTAGCTTCTTTGGGAGCCCACTGATTGCACATCAATGTTGTGATCAATTGACAGCTGTCAAAACAAGGTATCCGCTGTCCAGTATCACCTGACCTTATCGCGGGCTCAGGTGTCGACCCATCCAGGTCGAGTATTTTTTTGTAGTTATCCGCTGGCGAGTTACTAGTTTTCAAATGATCGCAGGCTCATTTTTTTTAATTCATATGAAATATGTTGTGTTTAGGTCACTATGGCCCAGTACTATTAACATTTTGATTTCAAACTGACCTTGGACGCGAAAATTCAGCCAATTACTTAAAAATGCAAGCAGGGAAGACAGATGCTTTTCACTTTTCTCACCATAGTCACACGTTGGTCACGCTCGCGCTTCACGTCCAATTTTTATGCTATGATTGGTACAAATTTGACAGGTTAGTTCATGGGGAAAATTTATGCAGCATATTGCGACTTGTTTACTTTGACAGAGTTTTGTGTCAACTTGTGATGTTTTTAACTGTCTTTTTCCACTGGATGTACAAAATGAAATACAGCTGCCATCAAGAGTCTTCTGTTATTCACGGCTGGTTTGTTTATTGTATTTTTGGTTGAGAAATGCGCAACTTGTCAAAGTCGGATGGCATTGTTTTGGTTTTTCACCTTGCTGGATGCGTAAGAGAATTATAAAGGCTCAAGCGATCCTGGCCTTACTTGATAGCTTGCAGGAGCTGCATCTCGAAATATGGTAAGCCTGAGTAATTATTGTATTTATATCTAATTTCATGAAGTTGAGCGCAGTTTATGAAGCTAGTTTATGCACGTTTGTATTAAGATTTGAGACACTAATCTGCCATAGTATGAGGTTTGATATAAGCTTACAGAACTTTAAAAAGCCTTTAGTCGATATTTCACCGCGAATAGAAAGAAAAAACTTTACGAAGAATATTTAGTTATAATTTTGGCTGCAGAAAAAACGCTTTGAGCGATTTTCTTATCGCGAGTTCATGTTTGAAAACAGCAAACACCAGGAAGCCGGCGGCTTAAAACATAAACTTAATCTTTAAGCTTAAAGACTCTGGATTCTTAGAGACACTTAAATACTCATTTGTTTTCGTAAATGAAAATTGTTGTCTCTCAGTAAATGTTCTACCCAATTATATTTCTTTATTGATTGTTAGTAGTCTCAAAAGTGCAATTTTCATCGCTTTGCCGTTTGTTTTCAGTCGTTCATACATCGCTTGCCGGAGTACTCAAAATGCCGCGCTTATCAAACGCTTTTTAAGATTACACATCGTTATAAAACCATTAATAAAAAATAAACACAATAAATCCTTTATCATGTGGAAGCGTAACTCTTTTAAAATTTCATTGCAAATTTGGCTCTTGTCAAATCGCTACCGCACTCACTTTGCATCACACGCTCCACCTAAGAATAGACATGGAGGCCTGTTCACACCCCATAGGAAGTTAGCTCAGGGTCTGACGGCAAGTCTCCTATGAAAATTCTCACCGCTGGGAATATTCTGAGCCTTTTTGAGGAAAGTTTTCAAAAATTCGGCTAAATGTACATTATGTGTGATCAAAGGACTTTGATGGTTCACGATTTTTCCGTGGAGAGTTCATAGGCGGAAATAATTTTGTTTTTAATCCAGAAGCTAATTCCTTGTTGTTTCGTGAATTCTTGCCTTGACTAAAACAACATCCGTGTATGATGCCTCGGAAATTAAGGAAACCAAATAATTCATTAATGTTTATTACTGATCATGACGAAAATAGTTTCGATCAACAACAACAAACTATAAACTATAAACAAAACTACAAACTATAACAAAGTATTACATTATTGCCAAAAGCTACTTGAATTTAATTATTGGTTCCTTTTTAAATTAAATATGTAACATATTAACTTTAAATATAATAATCATTGCTTGTTTTCAACTATCAGTAGGATTAATTATTCCGATCATTTGCTGATAAGACTGAGTGTCAAAACAGCCATTGCAAAGCTATCTTTTGAGAAGCCCATTAATCAATCAATCAATCAATCAATCAATCAACTTTCTTGGTACATCCAATTAAAATGGGTTTTCACATACCAATTACAATAAAATCTAATATGAACAATAGAAATCTAAAATAAACATTTGAAAGTGATAAAACATTACCATATTATTTAAAAAATATAAAATATGCAAATTACACCTATTGAGTGTCAATGACTTAAAAAACTCGTCAACTGCACGTCCTTTAATCGCATTCTTAAAAACATTAAATGACTCTATGTTTGCTAAACCTTCTGGAAGGTCATTCCAGAGCTGAACAGCCCTATATGAGAAAGATCGCTGACCTGTTGCTGATCTAAAAGATGGTATATGAAGTTTGTCTTTATTCTTAGTATTTCTAGTATGCACCTGGCTTCTTGTCGAAAATTTATGACACAAGGATGGTGCGGCTAATCCCTTTATACATTTGGAAGCCATTAAAATGTCTCTAACCTCTAGTTGCTTAGCAACCGGCAACCAGTGGAGTTCCTTTAACATCGGCGTGATGGGCTCATACTTTCTTGCGCTAGTCACAATCCGTGCCGCAAAATTTTACTTTACCAAAGAACAATAACCAACCAAAAAACACATTAAATGGTCTGGGATAGTGACTTCCACTCGGATAGTAGGTTTGTCAAGAGTTCATGAAGAGGTTTGTGTTAGTTAATGAATGTTTGGATCAATTTAGGCTTCTGGGAAACTGCCCACCTACCCCTCCCCTAAGCTAACATTAAAACTTACTTCTCGCTTAGAGCAAAATGACGGCTTAGGAGAGGGGTAGGTGGGCATTTTTTCAGAAAGCTTAATTGCGAATGTTTGATGAAAAAAAGAAGTTCCCTTTTTATTCTTTCCTTTTTTACCCGATAGATGTGTCAACCACAGGGAACCTAGACTGTGAAATAAGTGCACAGAAATGTCAACAGCCTTTTCAGACGATAACAGTAACGCCCAAACACTCTAAAGTGACTTTGAACTGCTCGATTAAGAATGGGGGAAAAGTACAAGATATGACCTGGCAGCACCTTGAAAAACATCTCAATGCCAGCGGTGACGCCGGTCTGTTCTTACAGCACATTGATTCAAAGAACAGAAGTCAGCCACGTGAATGTTTTTCTATAAAATACGCCAGTGAGTATGTTCTTCTTTTGCCTTGTCTGTATTACATTGATGGGGAGAAAAATGTCATAATGCCCCCATCAGTTCTTTTGTGTCTTCTTTTTTAAATGGATTATAACGAATCCTATGAATGCCTCGTAACAGGTTTAGCCAGATTCAAGTTCAGCTGAGGCAATTTTTACGGTTGGATTGATCGAAAAAACGGTTGAAGTTATAGCCAGCTGAATCACCTCACTTGAACATGCTTCACCGCGAAACTCTAGTTGCTCATGCCATGCTGGAAGGCAAGCAAAGCAAAGGGACATGACAAACAATAAACAAAGGAATCATTTTAAATGATGTTAGCTTTTTGTTTGGCTTGACTCACTGCGTAGGGTCTCGCTCTCCAGCATGGCAGGTTAGTGCAACAAAAGTGACTTACTGCAAAGGGCCTATTTAAAATGAACAAGGCATGGAGTAAAACATGGTTGGTCCGTTTGACTTTAGTTATCTTAAAAATCGTGAGCTAAGCAACGACGACGACGGCAGTGAAAATGTCGCTAAAAAATTAAATTTGACTCATTTCAAAATGTTATCGCGTCTATTTGGAGCTGCTTAATTTGCAGAATTTGTCAAATGTAGACGATTTCTCTTGAAGATGAATTCTTAAGAACTTTATTCAGGTTCAGAAAGAAAAAGGAGAATTTGTCGTCTTATGCTCACTTTCCCCATAAAACGTCGTATTCCTTGATTCATAGTCTTGCAGTCAACGCCCGGGGGGGTACTCCCATACATTACCTATACGGGTATGTGCCGCCCAACGGGGTCGTGATTTTGAAGCTCCTGGTTTAGAAATGGGTATCCATTTCAGAGACGTTTTCTAGAACGGGATATAATATTTTGAACGCACGAAAGCTCCAGTTTTGTAAGCAGCCGCTGCTTGAATGATTTGAAATTATTCAAAGACAGATTGCTTTTAAAAATACTGTTCAATGCGTTAACAAGCAAACTGTTATACTCTTGTTGCACCGTAGAACGAAGTATAAAAAATTGGCCCATTTCTAGAACGGGATATCAATTTTAGGGGAAATTTTTTTAGAACGGGTGGAGTCCCGGGCGGCACATACCCACCCAAAAAATACCCAAGTGTGCCCCCCAGGAGTCAACGTCAAAGAAATGTACTAAGAAGCTTGACGCACGTGCAGCAACTGTTGTTTTCATGTTAAAACCAATTGTGTTTTGACGTCGTGGTGGTTCAGATTTTCACTTTTCAGATTTTGGTATTTTTTCCCACTAATTCAAGAGGTTGCTATAAAAATTACAAATATATCACAAAAACAAGAGGAAGAAAACCAGCAAATTACATAAATCCTGGTCAAAAGTGAAATGTGTGCAGTGGCCAAAAGAGCTTAGCTTTTCGAGTTGGTCACTTAAGCTCCCTACAAAGTTTAAATGACTGGGTGCATGACTTATGAGCTTTGAAATTAAGACGAAGAATTCCTTCTCAGTTCCAGTTAAAAGAGTATCTAAGACAAGTTCTCCCGTTGACTTCTATTCTGACAAAAAACAAATGGAACTGAAGTGTACCTTCAAGGGATGGCCTCGTCCTCGTGTAGTTTGGTCCAATCCAAAAAACAAACAAATCCTCAACGGATCTGAAGGTTTTTACATCTCAGAGCAGCTGGATGGAGAGGATACCTTAACTTCCCTTCTCCGTAATCCTGATATCCAAGAAAATCAAGCAGGGGCTTATAAATGCACTGGAATGAACAACATTACAGGCTGGTCGATTGAAAAATCAGGGATAATTGACCTGATTTATGGCTGTGAGTCATTTAATTTCTTATTTGAATTCTTCTTATACACACGGATGCACAAGACCACCTTAATTAACAGTACCTCCTTTGTATCAGGTTCAGCATAAAAATGTATTGCCGTGTTTGCCCTGTAAGCAATGGAAAGTATCCCATTTAGACGAAGAGGGACAGCTCATTCTCTGTTGATTTAGACGGAATTAAATATTGGGTGCTTCATGTTTTAAATAACAGATAAAGTTATTCCCAGCTGAATTTAAAAGAAATCAATATAACTCAAAATTTCGTGCCACCTTCCTCTTTCCATTCAGACCAATTGGACGCTGGAATTTTCATTTGTTTATCCCTCGGGTCACAAGGGATAAGTAAATAATTAAATAAATAAATAACGATTTAGTGGCGCTAGCTCATCCACATAGTGGTTCTTTGTCTGCCATTCTGGCTCAAATTTACCCCGCCCAGATGGTGGGATTAACGTGGGAGTGAGGTATGTTTTTGGCAGCGATGGCGGAATAAGGGTAACAAGCAACAAAACTCATCTAGGCCGACCACATATGAAGTTGCCTGAGGAATCAAGCACAGGACAGTCATTAATGAGAGAGGAGTGTTCTCACCTGAAATACAGTAGAACCTCTATATAACGAACTCCTCGGTATAATTAACAATTATTCCACCAGTGTGCGTTGGATTTGAGATGGTAGGGAGCCAACGAGGCGCGTAGCCCCGAGTTGGCAGAAAGAAAAAGGAGAATTTGTCGTCGTATGTTCACTTTCTCTATAAAACGTCGTATTCCTTGATTAGGAGGTTTCACTTCATAGTCGTGCAGTCAACGTCAAAGAAATGTACTAAGAAGCTTGACGCACGTGCAGCAACTGTTGTTTTCATGTTAAAACCAATTGTGTTTTGACGTCGTGGTGGTTCAGATTTTCACTTTTCAGATTTTGGTATTTTTTCCCACTAATTCAAGAGGTTGCTATAAAAATTACAAATATATCACAAAAACAAGAGGAAGAAAACCAGCAAATTACATAAATCCTGGTCAAAAGTGAAATGTGTGCAGTGGCCAAAAGAGCTTAGCTTTTCGAGTTGGTCACTTAAGCTCCCTACAAAGTTTAAATGACTGGGTGCATGACTTATGAGCTTTGAAATTAAGACGAAGAATTCCTTCTCAGTTCCAGTTAAAAGAGTATCTAAGACAAGTTCTCCCGTTGACTTCTATTCTGACAAAAAACAAATGGAACTGAAGTGTACCTTCAAGGGATGGCCTCGTCCTCGTGTAGTTTGGTACAATCCAAAACACAAACAAATCATCAACGGATCTGAAGGTTTTTACATCTCAGCACAGCTGGTTGGAGAGGATACCTTAACTTCCCTTCTCCGTAATCCTGATATCCAAGAAAATCAAGCAGGGGCTTATAAATGCACTGGAATGAACAACATTACCGGCTGTTCGACTGAAAAATCAGGGATAATTGACCTGATTTATGGCTGTGAGTCATTTAATTTCTCATTTGAATTCTTCTTATACACACGGATGCACAAGACCACCTTAATTAACAGTACCTCCTTTGTATCAGGTTCAGCATAAAAATGTATTGCCGTGTTTGCCCTGTAAGCAATGGAAAGTATCCCATCTAGACGAAGAGGGACAGCTCATTCTCTCTTGATTTAGACGGAATTAAATATTGGGTGCTTCATGTTTTAAATAACAGATAAAGTTATTCCCAGCTGAATTTAAAAGAAATCAGTATAACTGAAAATTTCGTGCCACCTTCCTCTTTCCATTCAGACCAATTGGACGCTGGAATTTTTATTTGTTTATCCCTCGGGTCACAAGGGATAAGTAAATAAGTAAATAATTAAATAAATAAATAACGATTTAGTGGCGCTAGCTCATCCACATAGTGGTTCTTTGTCTGCCATTCTGGCTCAAATGTACCCCGCCCAGATGGCGGGATTAACGTGGGAGTGACGTATGTTTTTGGCAGCGATGGCAGAATAAGGGTAACAAGCAACAAAACTCAACTAGGCCGACCACATATGAAGTTGCCTGAGGAATCAAGCACAGGACAGTCATTAATGAGAGGGAGTGTTCTCACCTGAAATACAGTAGAATCTCTATATAACGAACTCCTCGGTATAATTAACAATTATTCCAGCAGTGGGCGTTGGATATGAGTTGGTAGGGAGCCAACGAGGCGCGTAGCCCCGAGTTGGCAGAAAGAAAAAGGAGAATTTGTCGTCGTATGTTCACTTTCTCCATAAAACGTCGTATTCCTTGATTAGGAGGTTTCACTTCATAGTCGTGCAGTCAACGTCAAAGAAATGTACCAAGAAGTTTGACGCACGTGCAGCAATTGTTGTTTTCATGTTAAGGTGGCTCGATACAGTTTTTCAGGGTCAATACCTCTGAAGCTTGAGCATAAACTACGTCGCCAAAAACAAAGTTTTGGAAATATTGCCACCACAGTTGTATTAGATAAAGATGAAAATTTGTTATGATCAGTGTTGCAACGGCATCGGAGTTGTCATAGCAACGAAATGACGCTATTGCCTATTTTACTTGCAGCAGTATATCTCGGCACTGAGAACTGTTCTTCGAAAATCATTTACGGGAGCTTTTTCCTCCAATAGCAGCCTCGATGTTCGTGAAGTTTAAGCGAAATCTGTAACAGCGTTATCAAGATATTTTGCGATAATGTTTTTATTGTTAAATACACAGTAAAAAATGGACAATATTGTTGTTTGGCCGTTATCTCTAGAAAATGAGGCGCTTTTGACACGCAATTTCACCTCATAGTATTTCAATCTATTTAAAAGCGTGCATGAAAGATCATGGGAGATAGGTCAAGCCGATTGCTAGAAAGAAGGGTTTGATTAGTATGTATTGAAGCGCTCTTGTTAGCGGTTTTGTAAACATTTTGGTCTTCTTTAACAAATTAGCGAATAATTTTTAAACCGCTCGATAGATTTTTTTAAAAATTTAAGATTCTTGAGATTAACCTTCCTTTTATATGACCTTTTAGTTTCAAGATCATTGATATGTTGTAAGGTAGTAAAATAAGGGCTACAATTCGTTACTTCTTTATTGGAAGTTTCGTCATTACAAGTGAAAGCCTCTAATTATTCAAGGCATTGTCTGCAAGTTTCATTTTCACGTGAACAGCAGTAACTAACAATGCATTTGAAATATGCAAAAATGCTAGCTTTTTTTGTGCACGAAAATATGAAACTTGGATACAATACCCTGAATAATGAGATGCTCATACTTGTAAACACAAAATTTCGGCCAAAATATTAGCGAATTGTAGCCCTTATTTTACTGCCTTACAATATATCAATAACCTTGAAACTAAAAGGTCATATAAAAGGAAGGTTAATCTCAAGAATCTTAAATTTTTAAAAAAAACTATCGAGCGGTTTAGAAATAATTCGCTAATTTGTTAAAGTAGACCAAAATGTTTAAAAAACCGCTAACAAGAGCGACTCGATACATAGTAATCAAATCCTTCTTTCTAGCAAACGGCTGGAGCTATCTCCCTGATCTTTCACACACGTTTTTAAAAAGATTGAAACTACTATGAGGTGAAATTGCATGTCAAAAGCGCTTCGCTTTCTACAGATAACAGCCGAAAACCAAGATTAATTGTCCATTTTTTACAGTATTTCTAACGACAAAATCTTTATCCCAAAATATCTCGATAACGCTCTTACAGATTTCTCTTAAACTTCACGAACATCGAGGCTGCTATCGGAGGAAAATGCTCCCGTGAATAAGTTCGAAGAACAGTTCCCAGTGCCGAGATATACTGCTGCAAGTAAAATAGGTAATAGCGTCATTTCGTTCCTATGACAACTCTGAGGCCGTTGCAACCCCGATCATAACAAATTTTCATCTTCATTTAATACAACTATGGTGGCAATTTTTCCAAAACTTTCTTTATGGCGACGTAGTTTATGCTCAAACTTGGAAGGTATTGGCCCTGAAAAACTGTATCGAGCCACCTTAAAACAAATTGTGTTTTGACGTTCTCGTAGTGGTGGTTCAGATTTTTACATCTCAGATTTTGATATTTTTTCGCACTAATTCAAGAGGTTGCTATAAAAATTGCAAATATATTACAAAAACAAGAAGAAAAAAACCAGCAAATTACATAAATCCTGATCAAAGGTGAAATGTGCGCAGTGGCCAAAGAAGCTTAGGCTTTCGAGTTGGTCACTTATGCTCCCTACCATGTTTAAATGACTGGGTGCATGACTTATGAGCTTTGAAATTAAGACGAAGAATTCCTTCTCAGTTCCAGTTAAGAGAGTATCTAAGACAAGTTCTCCCGCTGACTTCTATTCTGACAAAAAACAAATGGAACTGAAGTGTACCTTCAAGGGATGGCCTCGTCCTCGTGTAGCTTGGTCCAATCCAAAAAACAAACAAATCATCAACGGATCTGAAGGTTTTTACATCTCAGAGCAGCTGGATGGAGAGGATACCTTAACTTCCCTTCTCCGTAATCCTGATATCCAAGAAAATCAAGCAGGGGCTTATAAATGCACTGGAATGAACAGCCTTACCGGTTGGTCGACTGAAAAATCAGAGTATATTGACCTGATTTATGGCTGTGAGTCATTTAATTTCTTATTTGAATTCTTCTTATACACACGAATGCACAAAACCACATTAATTAACAGTACCTCCTTTGTATCAGGTTCAGCATAAAAAGGTATTGCCGTGTTTGCCCTGTAAGCAATGGAAAGTATCCCATTTAGACTAAGAGGGACAGCTCATTCTCTCTTGATTTAGACGGAATTAAATATTGGGTGCTTCATGTTTTAAATAACAGATAAAGTTATTCCCAGCTGAATTTAAAAGAAATCAACTGAATATAACTGAAAATTTCGTGCCACCTTCCTCTTTCCATTCAGACCAATTGGACGCTGGAATTTTTACTTGTTTATCCCTCGGGTCACAAGGGATAAGTAAATAATTAAATAAATAAATAAATAACGATTTAGTGGCGCTAGCTCATCCATATAGTGGTTCTTTCTCTGCCATTCTGGCTCAAATTTACCCCGCCCAGATGGCGGGATTAACGTGGGAGTGATGTATTTTTTTGACGGCGATGGCGGAATAAGGGTAACAAGCAACAAAACTCAACTAGGCCGACCACATATGAAGTTGCCTGAGGAATCAAGCACAGGACAGTCATTAATGAGAGGGGAGTGTTCTCACCTGAAATACAGTAGAATCTCTATATAACGAACTCCTCGGTATAATTAACAATTATTCCAGCAGTGTGCGTTGGATATGAGATGGTAGGGAGCCAACGATGCGCGTAACACCGAGTTGGCAGAAAGAAAAAGGAGAATTTGTCGTCGTATTTTCACTTTCTCTATAAAACGTCGTATTCTTTGATTAGGCGGTTTCACTTCATAGCTGTGCAGTCAACGTCAAAGAAATGTACTAAGAAGCTTGACGCACGTGCAGCAACTGTTGTTTTCATGTTAAAACTAATTGTTTTTTGACGTTGTCGTGGTGGTGGTTCAGATATTTACATTTCAGATTTGATATTTTTTCCCACTAATTCAAGAGGTTGCTAGAAAAGTTACAAATATATTAAAAAAACAAGAGGAAGAAAACCTGCAAATTACATAAATCCTGATCAAAAGTGAAATGTGCGCAGTGGCCAAAAAGAAGCTTAGGAGTTTCGAGTTGGTCACAATGTTTAAATGACTGAGTGCATGACAATGTTTAAATGACTGTTTACATGGGGTGCATGTCCCCTTATGAAAACAAAAGAAGCTTTAGACCGGGAAATTAAGACGAAGAATTCCTTCTCAGTTCCAGTTAAAAGGGTATCTAAGACAAGTTCTCCCGTTGACTTCTATTCTGACAAAAAACAAATGGAACTGAAGTGTACCTTCAAGGGATGGCCTCGTCCTCGTGTAGTTTGGTCCAATCCAAAAAACAAACAAATCATCAACGGATCTGAAGGTTTTTACATCTCAGAGCAGCTGGATGGAGAGGATACCTTAACTTCCCTTCTCCGTAATCCTGATATCCAAGAAAATCAAGCAGGGGCTTATAAATGCACTGGAATGAACAACATTACTGGCTGTTCGACTGAAAAATCAGGGATAATTGACCTGATTTATGGCTGTGAGTCATTTAATTTCTTATTTGAATTCTTCTTATACACACGGATGCACAAGACCACATTAATTAACAGTACCTCCTTTGTATCAGGTTCAGCATAAAAATGTATTGCCGTGTTTGCCCTGTAAGCAATGGAAAGTATCCCATCTAGACTAAGAGGGATAGCCCATTCTCTCTTGATTTAGACGAAATTAATTATTGGGTGCTTCATGTTTTAAATAACAGATAAAGTTATTCCCAGCTGAATTTAAAAGAAATCAATACATAACTGAAAATTTCGTGCCACCTTCCTCTTTCCATTCAGACCAATTGGACGCTGGAATTTTTATTTGTTTATCCCTCGGGTCACAAGGGATAAGTAAATAAGTAAATAATTAAATAAATAAATAACGATTTAGTGGCGCTAGCTCATCCACATAGTGTTTCTTTGTCTGCCATTCTGGCTCAAATGTACCCCGCCCAGATGGCGGGATTAACCTGGGAGTGATGTATTTTTTTGGCGGCAATGGCGGAATAAGGGTAAGAAGCGACAAAACTCAACCAGGCCCACCACATATGTACGGAAGCTCAGGGGGGCCAGATAGGGATGTCGTTTTTATTTTTCACTTTTCGCTTTTTATTTTTTACGTTTCCGTTTTTGTTTTTTACTTTTCAGTTTTTGTTTTAAACGCTTTGATTTTCACTTCGTCATTTTGCTTTCCGGATTTGGTTTTGGTTTTTATTTTGTCCTTTTCCGTTTTTGTTTTTAACGTTTTGATTTTCACTTAGTCATTTTGCTTTTTGGTTTTGGTTTTGATTTTGATTTTGTCCTTTTCCGTTTTTGTTTTTAACGTTTTGATTTTCACTTCGTCATTTTCCTTTTTGGTTTTGCTTTTGATTTTGATTTTTTACTTTTCCGTTTTTGTTTTTAACGTTTTCATTTTCACTTCGTCAGTTTGCTCTTTGGTTTTGCTTTTGATTTTGATTTTTTACTTTTCCGTTTTTGTTTTAAACTTTTTGATTTTCACTTAGCAATTTTAATCTATATTATGAAAACCAAAACCAAAACCTTATTATAACAATTGAAAACGAAAACCGAAAAAACAAAAACCAAAACCGACAGCGTAGACCATCATGCTTTGCTGGAGGATCAATATGGCGGATTAAGGTGTCCACTCGGCGGAGTGCGGCTTTGTTGACTATGTTAGCCCAGGTAAATTATCTGATTTTACCTCCATTGATTGCTCTGCATCATAAATTGTATCTTTTTTTAACGTGTCTTTCAATTCTTCTATTAAAACTATGGAAATCGCGTTAATCGACTGGATCAGATAGTCCAAGACCAATGCTACACTTATGGAATATTTTCATGTAGACGGGATTTTGGCCTGGATTGAAGGTACTAACGTGGTGTAGGCTATCGCACATTTGTCAAGCTTTCATTTACAGTGGATCGTAATCGAGTACACTGATGAGACTGTGAATATCGAGAGGAATAAAATCTTTGAGCATAATGGAAGGATAAAACAGGGCTTCTGATATTTCGCGCGGTCGCGGACCCGCGAAATTCCCCAAAAAACGCGAAATACCGCGAAATCCGCAAGAAATATTTCCAAATACATGTCGGCAAAACATATTTAGTACTTATCTTGGCTATTAGACCGGTTTTATTAACCCCAAACGTCCAAATTTAGCTTGAAACTTCATCAATGCAGGGAGTAAACAACGTCCCAAAACTACCAGGCGTTTTTAGATGAACGTTGCGAAAAACTGGGCACTAACCATTATGTTGATAGCTTTAACATGCCTTCATTTCTCGAGCGAACTGTTGTTGAAAGAGCAAATGATTATCCGTGTTAAAAAAAAAACGTTCACCGACGCTGGTCATATCGACGCAAAATTGATCGATTTTAGCGAAATTTGCCAAAAAAAACCCAGCGAAATCGGTTGTTTTTTACTGATTGTTTCTCGGCGAAGTTTTCCCCCGAAATTTCTCGTGAAATCGGCCGATTTTCCTAAGACATTCTTAGGAAATTATTTGCCCCAGAAAATCCTTCAAAAATTGACTCTTTTCCGCTAAAATCCCGCGAAATGGGCCGATTTTTCTGCGAATTTTGACTTTTCTCCCGCGAAAATCGCCTGAAATCGGCCGATTATTCCGCGAATTTTGACTTTTTTCCCGCGAAAATCCCGCGAAATCGGCCGATTTTTCCGCGAATGTGACCCTGAAAATTCCGCGAAATATTGCTTTTTTTTCCGCGAAATATCAGAAGCCCTGATAAAAGTATTGCCATTAAGTTTTTGACACGTGTCGGCTCTCAATCATGTAACAACAATAACAACGGCTCAAAACAATTCTTATGGATAAAACCTAGGTGAAACTGCTAAGTTTTATGTAGAAGTAATGAACAGTAAGCGACAATAAGAGGGCAAATTTGGTCACGCGGTATACAAATTCACGTTTACCGTTTGTCTTAGAGGTCACTGTACATTTATTGTTGTTCTTGTAACTCGTGTTCCATCGAAGCACTTACATTTATTACGTCCGTGCGTTCCATAATTTTAAGGAGAGTTGAAAACCGGAGAACCAGAAAAACTGACCTCCAGTCTCTGAGCAACGGAAGGAACCATCAAACTTAACCCACGCCAGGATTTGAACCCGAGCTACATTGCTTAGAGCTACATTGGTGGCAAGCGAGTTCTCTCTCTGCGTCTCCCTTGCTCGTTTGTTGGGGGATGGCGGGGGGCATTCGTGTAATCATGCTTGGACCTTCTTTCAACTGTGTCTATACAGAAAGCATATAACTGGAACGTAGGCAAACAACTAATAATGGCTCACCGAAACGGCATTCAGAATTACTCTTTTGTGACACCGGGACATGGCGTTTAATATTGAGGGCTTTAAATCGCCTCTTTAATATACGTACACTGCAGTGAAAGAAACGGAAGCTTTGTTAGTCCATGACAAAAAATAGTGTCTCTCGTCCGGATTTCTATGAAAGATACTCCGCTGGAGGACGTTTTTTTGTTGTTGTTTTTTCGGTTATTGTCAATGCTTTCTTAGAAATTATGTTACCCCATGAAGAGTTACGTGACTAACCAGAATGTACGCAGTCATGAGTGACAAATCTATAAATCTATGATCTGATTTGTCAAGGTAAAGGCAAAAGAGTATAATAATTCACTGTCTTGCCTTTGCATAGTACTTTTATACTACTCTGAGCAAGGGAGATGCAGAGAGAGAACTCGCTTGCCACCAATGCTCGGGTTCAAATCCTGGCGTGGGTGATCTCCACCCCCAAACCAGGGGGGGCGTCTACAGAGTCACTTTGCGTGTTTATCGCAATAATTAACACCTTCAAAAACCTATTTAAGGCTTCTGACACTTTTAATGTTTTTCAAGTTTTGATAAAGATGGCTGACAGTCATCGAAACTGTCAGCATCATTAAGACTGGCTATGTTTTAAGAACATTTAAATCGACTTATCAACTTCACTAGCCTGATGAATTTCGTCAAGAATTAATGGTTCCTTCCCTTGCTCAGAGACTGGAGGTCAGTTTTTCTGGTTCTCCGGTTTTCAACTCTCCTTAAAATTATGGAACGCACGGACGTAATAAATGTAAGTGCTTCGATGGAACACGAGTTACAAGAACAACAATAAATGTACGGTGACCTCTAAGACAAACGGTAAACGTGAATTTGTATACCGCGTGACCAAATTTGCCCTCTTATTGTCCCTTACTGTTCATTACTTCTGCATAAAACTTAGCAGTTTCACCTAGGTTTTATCCATAAGAATTGTTTTGAGCCGTTGTTATTGTTGTTACATGATTGAGAGCCGACACGTGTCAAAAACTTAATGGCAATACTTTTATCCTTCCATTATGCTCAAAGATTTTATTCCCCTCGATATTCACAGTCTCATACGCGATTACGATCCACTGCAAATGAAAGCTTGACAAATGTGCGATAGCTTACACCACGTTAGTACCTCCAATCCACGCCAAAATCCCGTCTCCTTGAACATATTCCAAAACTGTAGCATTGGTCTTGGACTTTCTGATCTAGTCGATTAACGCGATTTCCATAGCTTTAATAGAAGAATTAAAAGGTGCGTTAAAAAAAGATACCATTTATGATTCAGAGCAATCAGTGGAGGTAAAATCAGATAATTTACCTGGGCTAACGTCGTCAACAAAGCCGCACTCCGCCGAATGGACACCTTGATCCGCCATATTGATCCTCCAGCAAAGCACGATGGTCTACGCTGTCGGTTTTGGTTTTTGTTTTTGTTTTTGTTTTTTTGGTTTTCGTTTTCAATTGTTATAATAAGGTTTTGGTTTTGGTTTTCATAATATAGATTAACATTGCTAAGTGAAAATCAAAAAGTTTAAAACAAAAACGGAAAAGTGAAAAATCAAAATCAAAAGCAAAACCAAAGAGCAAGATGACGAAGTGAAAATCAAAACGTTAAAAACAAAAACGGAAAAGTAAAAAATCAAAACAAAAACCAAAACCAAAAAGGAAAATGACGAAGTGAAAATCAAAACGTTAAAAACAAAAACGGAAAAGGACAAAATAAAAACCAAACCCAAAACCGAAAAGCAAAATGACGATGTGAAAATCAAAACGTTTCGAACAAAACCTGAGAACTAAAAAACAAAAACGGAAACGTAAAAAATAAAAAGCGAAAAGTGAAAAATAAAAACGAAATCACTATCTGCCCCCCCCCGGGCTTCCGAGTTGCCTGAGGAATCAAGCACAGGACCGTCATTAATGAGAGGGGAGTGTTCTCACCTGAAATACAGTAGAACCTCTATATAACGAACTCCTCGGTATTATGAGATGATAGGGAGCCAAAAAGGCGCGTAGCACCGAGTTGGCAGAAAGAAAAAGGAGAATTTGTCGTCGTATTTTCATTTTCTCTATAAAACGTCGTATTCCTTGATTAGGAGGTTTCACTTCATATTCCTGGAGTAAACGTCAAAGAAATGTACTAAGAAGTTTGACGAACGTGCAGCAACTGTTGTTTTCATGTTAAAACCAACTGTGTTTTGACGTTGACATCGTCGTGGTTCAGATTTTTACATTTCAGATTTTGATATTTTTTCCCACTAATTCAAGAGGTTGCTATAAAAATTACAAATATATTACAAAAACAAGAAGAAGAAAACCAGCAAATTACATAAATCATGATCAAAGGTGAAATGTGGGCAGTGGCCAAAGGAGCTTAGGCTTTCGAGTTTGTCACTTAAGCTCCCTACCATGTTTAAATGACTGGGTGCATGACTTATGAGCTTTGAAATTAAGACGAAGAATTCCTTCTCAGTTTCAGTTCAGAAAGGAGATAAGACAAGTTCTCCCGTTGACTACTATCCTAACACGACAGAAATGGAACTGAAGTGTACCTTCAAGGGATGGCCTCGTCCTCGTGTAGTTTGGTACAATCCAGATAAAAAACAAATCATCAACGGATCTGAAGGTTTTTACATCTCAGAGCAGCTGGATGGAGAGGATACCTTAACTTCCCTTCTCCGTAATGCTAATATCCAAGAAAAACACGCTGGGGCTTATAAATGCACTGGAATGAACACCATTACCGGCTGGTCGACTAAAATATCAGCGTATATTGACCTGCATTATCGCTGTGAGTCATTTAATTTCTTATTTCTAATACTACGGATGCGCAAAACTACCTCCTTTGAAGCAGGTTCATAAAAACATAATACCATGTTTCTCCTGTAAGCAATGGAGAGTATCCCATTTACACTAAGAGGGACAGCTCATTCTCTCTTGATTTAGACAGAATTAAATATTGGGTGTTTCATATTTCAAATAACAGATTAACTTATTCCTAACTGAATTTTAAAAAATGTAACTGACAATTTCGTGCCACCTTCCTCTTCCATTTAGACTAAATGGACGCAGGAATTTTTATTTGTTTATCCCTCGGATCACAAGGGATAAGTAAATAAGTAAATAAATAATGATTTAGTGGCGCTATCTCATCCACAAAGTGGTTCTTTGTCTACCATTCTGGCTCAAATTTACCCCGCGCAGCTGGCGGGATTAACGTGGGAGTGATGTGTTGTTTTGGTGGCAATGGCGGAAGAAGGGTGAGAAGCAACAAAACTCAACCCGGCCGGCCACATATGATGTTGCCTGAGGAATCAAGCACAGGACAGTCAGTAATGAGAGGGGAGTGTTCTCACCTGAAATTCAGTAGAACCTCTATAAAATTATAACCAAGTCCTCGGTATAATTCACAATTATTCCACCACGAGTGTGCGTTAGATATGAGATGGTAGTTAGCCAAAGAGGCGCGTAGCACCGTGTTGGCTATAATCATCTTATATCCACCAAGCGCGAGTGGAATAATTATTCTATTAAAGACGCCCACGAAATATTGAGAAATCTTCCCAACTTTATTTGTAAATCAACCGATTTTCATCTTGTTTTTGATTTTGAGCAGACGTATACAGTTACCATATTTGAAGAGCATGGTATAACGGCTCATATACCATGATGGCTAAGCCAATCAGAGCTCTAGAATTGCATTATCCAATGATTCAATTTTTAATAATAAGCGATACTCTCCGCCCCAGAAATAATACAGTCAAACCCCGTAAATCCCGACAATGAGCGGGCCGTACTAAGAAAGTGTCTGTATTAACGGGGTGACCTTATTAAGCGGGTAGAAAATGAAAGGACTTTCTTTCCCCAGGGAAAAAGCAACCTGTCCGTAACAATGAGATCTCTGTATTGAGCGGGTGTCCGTATTGGAGCGGGGTTTGACTGTACAATAAATAAAAGGAACCTCGATATAACAAAACCTCTTTATGGCGAGCATATTTTGCCAGTCCTTTTGGTCTTCGTTCAGCTGTTTGTTATATCAAGATTCCAATGTAAAGTGTTATGTGGTTGTTAGAAAGAGAAAAGGAGACGTCGAATAGCTATTGAAATCAACACTTAGTAGCACAGGCCATATTGGTGGGAGGTAAGAGAAGTGGGGTTCATCCGATCAACCCATCGTTAGAGCATCGCTAAAGACGGCGTGACGAGACAAGTCGCAAAAGAGGAAACCAGTGGGATAAACAAAATCAACACGTGAAAACTCCAAAGTGTTGTGATGCCCTATATATTGTCACAAATACTCAGGAGGGGAGGGTAAGAGTAAGAATGCTACCCCATACGGTTGCACAAAAAAATGGTAACGATTTTCAAATGATATTTGCTCATCATGTCTTCTTATCATCTAATACAGGTCTCTTGCCTAAAGCTCCGCAGATTACTTCTCTCGAGGTTTTCGAGACAGCCTACCTCAATGTCAGGTTAAAGTGCAGAGTAGGTGTTAGCCCAAGCAACTGTGATGACAATTCTTTACAGTGGTATTTTAACAACAGCTCAGTGAAATTAAAATCTGGTGAAAAGTATGATATACAAGAAAGGAAAACCAACACCAAATGCAAAAAAGATTTCAGTCTCACCATTGTTAACGCTACTGATGCAGACAAAGGAGAGTATAAATGTCGCTATGTCTGCAACTTCGGCTATTCCAGGTCTTCAACTATCCAGTTGAAAGTATTTCCAGGTACTGATACTCCTGTTATATCTAAAGGTCTTGTCTCACGAAATTTATCAAAATTCAAACAGTGGAAAACGCCACCAAATTGAGTGAAACATGAAAATAACCGCTCAAAAGACCGAGGAGGGCGGGGGTGTTACTTGGGTAAATTTTTGCTGGGTACATGCTGCTGGCCTCTCAGAGCCCTTACCCGATTGTAGTCTATTCTGTGGCCAATTATAGGCCCCATCTTAGTCACTTTTGGGCAAATGTGTAGTTTTCGCGATACCAACTTAGTAACTTTCTATTTTTATGAATTGACCCTTTTTTTTTTTACCCATTATGTCAAGGCGGATTACAAAGTTGCTACGTTTCTAGCGTTTATCGTAGCAGATGCATATGGCGTGCCGCGAAATTTGTTAGCCCCTCAACGTCCAATATATGTCTTTTGTGCAATAGTATCAAAAGCTGACTGAACGATTTGGAAACCCAGCTCTTATTTCAAAGTCACTGATCAGTAAGTTCCTGGAGATATCAGCAGATCAGGATGAAAACAATTTGACAACTCGCGCAACATATATTGTGAGAACATTCATGGAGCAGGCTTTAGACCAGCAACTACAATGCAGCAGATTGTTACAAAGCTAGCTCCAAAAATTCAAGTAAGATGAAGCAGGCAAAAGTTAAAGCTACAGCCCAAATAAGTGTTGACCTTAGCGACCTAGATGAGTGGCTGAAACCGAGAGTCAAGTCGAAGTGATAGCCTTTGGTTGTTCCAGTAATATGCCATGCTGGAGGGCGAGAAAAGCAAAGGGACATGACAAACAACAAACAAAGGAAACATTCTAAGTGATGTAAGCTTTTTGTTTGGCTTGACTCAGTGCGTAGGGCCTCGCTCTCCAGCATGGCAGGTTTGTGCAACAAGAATGACTTACTGCAAAGGGCCTATTTAAAATGAACAAGGCATGGAGTAAAACATGGTTGGTTGGAAGGTGTCGGTAAGAGAGATGACTGTAGATATCTGAAAAATAGTGAGCTAAGCAACGAAGACGACGACGACGGCAGTGAAAATGTCACTAAAAAATTAAATTTGCCTCATTTCAAATGTTATCGCGTCTACTTGAAGCTGCTTAATTTTTCAAATGTAGGCGATTTCTCTTGGAGTTGAATTCTTAAGGACTTTATCCAGGTTCACAAAGAAAAAGGAGAATTTGTCGTGGTATGTTTACTTTCTCTACAAAACGTCGCATTAGGAGGTTTCACTTCATAGTCGTGCAGTCAACGTCAAAGTAATGTACTAAGAAGCTTGATGCACGTGCAGCAACTGTTGTTTTCATCTTAAAAAATCGCTTTTTCTTGCTATTTGTGGGCATTGAGAGAACAAAATGGTAAATCTGAATAAATCAAGAGGTTACTGCAAAATAGAATTACAATACATTACAAAAGTAAGAAAAAAATAAAAGAATAATTTACATAAATCCTGATCAAAGGTGAAATCTGAGCAGACGCCATAGTAGGTTTGGCTTTTGAGTTGGTAACTTACGTTTCCTAGTTTAATGACTGGGTGCATGACTTAGGAGCTTTGAAATTAAGACGAAGAATTCCTTCTCAGTTTCAGTTCAGAAAGGAGATAAGACAAGTTCTCCCGTTGACTACTATCCTGACACAAGAAAAATGGAACTGAAGTGTACCTTCAAGGGATGGCCTCGTCCTCGTGTAGTTTGGTACAATCCAGATAAAAAACAAATCATCAACGGATCTGAAGGTTTTTACATCTCAGAGCAGCTGGATCGAGAGGATACCTTAACTTCCCTTCTCCGTAATCCTGATATCCAAGAAAAACACGCAGGGGCTTATAAATGCACTGGAATGAACAACATTACCGGCTGGTCGAGTGAAAAATCAGGGTATACTGACCTGAATTATCGCTGTGAGTCATTTAATTTCTTATTTCTAATACTACGGATGCGCAAAACTACCTCCTTTGAAGCAGGTTCATAAAAACATAATACCATGTTTCTCCTGTAAGCAATGGAAAGTATCCCACTTAGACTAAGAGGGACAGCTCATTCTCTCTTGATTTAGACGGAATTAAATATTGGGTGTTTCATATTTCAAATGACAGTTTAACTTATTCCTAACTGAATTTAAAAAAATGTAACTGACAATTTCGTGCCAGGAATTTTCATTTGTTTACCCCCCGGGGCACAAGGGATAAGTAAATAAGTAAATAAATAAATAATGATTTAGTGGCGCTAGCTCATCCACATAGTGGTTCTGTCTCAAATTTACCCCGCGCAGCTGGCGGGATTAACGTGGGAGTGACGTGTTGCTTTGATGGCGATGGCGGAATAAGGGTGAGAAGCAACAAAACTCCCAACCCGGCCGACCTTATATGATGTTGCCTGAGGAATCAAGCACAGGACAGTCATTAATGAGAGGGGAGTGTTCTCACCTGAAATTCAGTAGAACCTCTATATAACCAAGTCTTCGGTATAATTAACAATTATTCCACTTATTCCACGAGTGTGCGTTACATATGAGATGGTAGGTAACCAACGAGGCGCGTAGCACCGTGTTGACTATAATCATCTCATTTCCAAAAAGCGAGTGGAATAATTATTCTATTAAAGACGCCCACAAAATATCGAGAATTTTTTCCGACTTTATTTGTAAACCAACCGATTTTCATCTTGTTTTTGATTTTGAGCAGACGCGTACGGTTACCATGTTTGAAGAGCATGGTTTAACGGCTCATAAACCATGATGGCTAAGCCAATCAGAGCTCTAGAATTGCATTATCCAATGATTCAATTTTTAAAAATAAGCGATACTCTCCGCCAAAGAAATAATACAGGCAAACCCCGTAAATCGCGACACGGAAGGGGCCGTGCTAAGAATATGTCTGTATTCACTTGGTGACGTTATTAAGCGGGAAGAAAATGAAAGGACTTTTTTTCCCCAGGGACAAAGCCAACTGTCCGTAACAATGAGATCTCTGTATTGAGCGGGTTCCAGACTGGAGCGGGGTTTGACTGTACAATGAATAAAAGGAACCTCGATATAACAAAACCTCTTTATGGCGAGCATATTTTGCCAGTCCTTTTGGTCTTCGTTCAGCTGTTCGTTACATCAACATTCCAATGTAAGCTGTTATGTGATTGTTGAAAAGAGAAAACGAGACGCCGACTATCTATTGAAATCAAAACTTAGTAGCACAGGCCATATTGGTGGGAGGTAAGAGAAGTGGGGTTCATCCGATCAGCCCATCGTGAGAGCGTGTCTAAAGACGGCGTGACGAGACAAGTCGCAAAAGAGGAAACCAGTGGGATAAACAAAATCAACACGTGAAAACTCCAAAGTGTTGTGATGCCCTATATATTGTCACAAATACTCAGGAGGGGAGGGTAAGAGTAAGAATGTTACCTCCTACAGTTGCACAAAAAAATGGTAACGATTTTCAAATGATATTTGCTCATCATATCTTCTTATCATCTAATACAGGTCTCTTGCCTAAAGCTCCGCAGATTACTTCTCTCGAGGTTTTCAAGACAGCCTACCTCAATGTCAGGTTAAAGTGCAGAGTAGGTGTTAGCCCAAGCAACTGTGATGACAATTCTTTACAGTGGTATTTTAACAACAGCTCAGTGAAATTAAAATCTGGTGAAAAGTATGATATACAAGAAAGGAAAACCAACACCAAATGCAAAAAAGATTTCATTCTCACCATTGTTAACGCTACTGATGCAGACAAAGGAGAGTATGAATGTCGCTATGTCTGCAACTTCGGCTATTCCAGGTCTTCAACTATCCAGTTGAAAGTATTTCCAGGTACTGATACTCCTGTTATATCTAAAGGTCTTGTCTCACGAAATTTATCAAAATTCAAACAATGGAAAACGCCACCAAATTGAGTGAAACATGAAAATAACCGCTGAAAAGACCGAGGGGGGCGCGGGGTGTTACTTGGGTAAATTTTTGCTGGGTACATGCCGCTGGCCTCTCAGAGCCCCTAGCCCATTTCCGTCTATTCTGTGGTCAATTCATGATAGGCCCCATCTTAGTCACTTTTGGACAAATGTGTAGTTTTCGCGATACCAACTTAGTAACTTTCTATTTTTATGAATTCACCCATTTTTTAGATTGAATGAGAAACACTTTACTTTTCATCTGAAGTACAAACATTCTGGTACGTTTGCTAACCATAAATATGAAGAACTGTTTTACCCCAAAAACTCCGAAAATGTGCGACACCATTATAGTCAATCCAGACGCGAAAATGCGATCCCATCCAGCGGCACATCCCCATTAATAATAATAATAATTTACATTTATATAGCGCAAACCTCTATATGAATATATTCGGTTGCGCTTTACAATATTGATAAATAAAAATAAATAAGCCTCTTAAACGGAAGTCCCCCCGCCCCTTCGGGCTCAAAATAGTAACACAGCAAATGCAAAAGGAGTCATGTCATGTAAGGACCAGCTTGAAGGATTGAACCTGATTGCAACTGAGTGTTTCATAAGAAAACGAAGAATTTAATCCGAAGAATAACTCGCAATTGTATAACAGTAATTTCATTCGATCTAAAATCAAATTGAACAAATATATTCTATTCAAGAAGTGTAATCAAATAATTGATAATTGAAACTAAAAAAGCGGAAAAAAATGCCGATAAAAAGCTAAACGTTGATACAAGCGAAATCACGTGGTTCTTGAAACAAACTCAATTTAAGCTACTTTAACTCTGTTTAAAAGGTAACGAAAGAAAGACTAAATTAACAAAGGCGAAGGTAACATACAGTTCACTTACTTCTATGGCGAGTTTTCTAAAATGTCCTCGGAATAAGCATTAAATCGGTCCGGGTAGCAGGTAAACTGTTAACACTTTGATCCTTGCAGTACGGCGGTCGGTAAAAAACTTATAAAAGTTCGAACAAAGCGGATACTTTTGTGCTTCCTGTTGGGCGTTTACGGTTTTCCTACTTTTGCCAGCAAGATTAAATATAAAAATTCCTTGAATAGTTTTTTTACTACGTTAACTCTGAGGTTTCTGAAAACTCAAATAGCCTAAAGAGTTCCAGCAAACCATGACGTCATAGCCCAACTGTCTAGGTCTGAAACGGGGAAAGGTTTTGTGCCGTTTGGATACAGGGTCTGAAATTACATGTTCGTGCATGAGTTTTTTGTATTTTTGTTGTTGCTATTGTTTTAAATCATCCCTCTTCAGGTCTGTGAATAGGGTAGGAAAAGTCGTACTCTACCGAAACTGGTGGACAGCGAATTCCATAAATACGTGCACTTGAAATATCCTTTTAAACGGATAGGGCAATTGGAGGGTAAAGTCTACTTCTGTTTTTGAAATAATTATAGTGTAAATTATAGCTGAAATTTCTACTCGTGTGGGGCTATTTATTACTAGGTACCAGACAGCAACTCTGTGTCGCGATACCCATCAAGGGGACGGCGAATCGTAACACCCTCATTTATCTGCATAATCGTTTCACATGATACAATAGCCGAATCAGAATCCAGCATTGCATCTGGGATGAGTAATGTATTAGGTTCCAGACCTCTTATATTTTAGGGCAGGTTTTGCACATGCGCAGTTGCATTAAAAGAATCACTAGCAAATGGTTCGTTTCGTGTTGTTGTTTAAGACCAGAATATTACAATTTTGGCGACGAGGATGGCGCTTCTAGGTCAAGTTGGAGAATATGTGGACGGTAAAAAAGATATTGCAAGTTATATCCAAAGAGTGGAATTGTATTTTGCGGCGAATTATGTCAAGGCGGATTACAAAGTTGCTACGTTTCTAGCGTTTATCGTAGCAGGTGCATATGGCGTGCCGTGAAATTTGTTAGCCCCTGAACGTCCAATATATAAGTCTTTTGTGCAATAGTATCAAAAGCTGACTGAACGATTTGGAAACCCAGCTCTTATTTCAAAGTCACTGATCAATAAGTTCCTGGAGATATCAGCAGATCAGGATGAAAACAATTTGACAACTCGCGCAACATATATTGTGAGAACATTCATGGAGCAGGCTTTAGACCTGCAACTTAAATGCAGCAAATTGTTACAAAGCTAGCTCCAAAAATTGCAGTGAGGTGAAGCAGGCAATAGTTAAAGCTACAGCCCAAATAAGTTGACCTTAGCGACCTAGATGAGTGGCTGAAACCGAGAGTCAAGTCGAAGTGATAGCCTTTGGTTGTTCCAGTAATATGCTATGCTGGAGTGCGAGAAAAGCAAAGGGACATGACAAACAACAAACAAAGGAATCATTCTAAGTGATGTTAGCTTTTTGTTTGGCTTGACTCAGTAAGTAGGGCCTCGCTCTCCAGCATGGCAGGTTTGTGCAACAAGAATGACTTACTGCAAAGGGCCTATTTAAAATGAACAAGGCATGGAGTAAAACATGGTTGGTTGGAAGGTGTCGGTAAGAGAGATGACTGTAGATATCTTAAAAATCGTGAGCTAAGCAATGACGACAACGACGACGACGACGGCAGTGAAAATGTCACTAAAAAATTAAATTTGCCTCATTTCAAATGTTATCGCGTCTACTTGAAGCTGCTTAATTTTTCAAATGTAGGCGATTTCTCTTGGAGTTGAATTCTTAAGGACTTTATCCAGGTTCACAAAGAAAAAGGAGAATTTGTCGTGGTATGTTTACTTTCTCTACAAAACGTCGCATTAGGAGGTTTCACTTCATAGTCGTGCAGTCAACGTCAAAGTAATGTACTAAGAAGCTTGATGCACGTGCAGCAACTGTTGTTTTCATCTTAAAAAATTGTTTTTTCTTGCTATTTGTGGGCATGGAGAGAATAAAATGGTAGATCTGAATAAATCAAGAGGTTACTACAAAATAGAATTACAATACATTACAAAAGTAAGAAAAAACTAAAACAACAATTTACATAAATCCTGATCAAAGGTGGAATCTGAGCAGACGCCATAGTAGGTTTGGCTTTTGAGTTGCTCACTTAAGTTTCCTAGTTTAATGACTGGGTGCATGACTTAGGAGCTTTGAAATTAAGACGAAGAATTCCTTCTCAGTTTCAGTTGAGAGAGTATATAAGACAAGTTCTCCCGTTGACTACTATCCTGACACGAGAGAAATGGAACTGAAGTGTACCTTCAAGGGATGGCCTCGTCCTCGTGTAATTTGGTACAATCCAAAAACAAACAAATCATCAACGGATCTGAAGGTTTTTACATCTCAGAGCAGCTGGTTGGAAAGGATACCTTAACTTCCCTTCTCCGTAATGCTAATATCCAAGAAAAACACGCAGGGGCTTATAAATGCACTGGAATGAACAACATTACCGGCTGGTCGAGTAAAAAATCAGGGTATACTGACCTGAACTATCGCTGTGAGTCATTTAATTTCTTATTTTTGATACTACACACGGATGCGCAAAACTACCTCCTTTGAAGCAGGTTCATAAAAACATAATACCATGTTTCTCCTGTAAGCAATGGAAAGTATCCCATTTACACTAAGAGGGACAGCTCATTCTCTCTTGATTTAGACGGAGGTAAATATTGGGTATTTCATGTTTCAAATAACAGGTTAACTTATTCCTAACTGAATTTAAAAAAATGTAACGGAAAATTTCGTTCCACCTTCCTCCTCCATTTAGACTAAGTGGACGCTGGGATTTTTATTTGTTTACCCCCCGGGTCACAAGGGATAAGTAAATAAGTAAATAAATAAATAATGATTTGGTGGCGCTAGCTCATCTACAAAGTGGTTCTTTGTCTACCAATCTGGCTCAAATTTACCCTGCGCGGCTGGCAGGATTAAAGTGGGAGTGATGTGTTGTTTTGGTGGCAATGGCGGAACAAGGGTGAGAAGCAACAAAACTCAACCTGGCTGGCCACATATGATGTTGCCTGAGGAATCAAGCACAGGACAGTCATTAATGAGGGAGGAGTGTTCTCATCTGAAATTCAGTAGAACCTGTATATAACGAAGTCGACGGTATAATTCACAATTATTCCACTTATTCCACGAGTGTGCGTTAGATATGACATGGTAGTTAGCCAACGAGGCGCATAGCACCGAGTTTTCAATAATCATCTCATATCCAACAAGCGCGAGTGGAATAATTATTCTATTAAAAACGCCGACAAAATATCGAGTAACCTTCCCGACTTTATTTGTAAACCAAACGATTTTCATCTTGTTTTTATAATTTTGAGCAGACGCGTACAGTTACCATATTTGAAGAGCATGGTATAACGGCTCATATACCATGATCGTTAAGCCAATCAAAGCACTAGAATTGCATTATCCAATGATTCAATTTTCAATAATAAGCGATACTCTCCGCCCCAGAAATAATACAGTCAAACCCCGTAAATCCCAACACTGAAGGGGCCGCACTAAGAAAGAGTCCGTATTAGCGGGTTGACATTATTAAGCGGGTAGAAAATGGAAGGGCTTTCTTTCCCCAGGGACAAAGCAAACTGTCCGTAACAATGAGATCTCTGTATTGAGCGGGTTTCCATACTGGAGCGGGGTTTGACTATACAATAAATAGAAGGAACCTCGATATAACAAAACCTCTTTATAGTGAGCATATTTTGCCAGTCCTTTGGGTTTTCGTTCAGCTGTTCGTTATATCGAGATTCCAATGTAAAGTGTTATGTGATTGTTAAAAAGAGAAAACGAGACCTCCAATAGCTATTGAAATCAACCCTTAGTAGCACAGGCCATATTGGTGGGAGGTAAGAGAAGTGGGGTTCATCCGATCAACCGATCGTTAGAGCGTCTTTATAGACGGCGTGACGAGACAAGTCGCAAAGGAGGAAACCAGTGGGATAAACGAAATCAACACGTAAAAACTCCAAAGCGTTTTGATGCCCCATAAATTGTCACAAATACTCAGGAGGGGAGGGGAAGAGTAAGAATGTTACCCCTTACGGTTGCACAAAAAAATGGTAATCATTTTAAAATAATATTTGCTCATCATATCTTCTTATCATCTAATACAGGTTTCTGGCCTAAAGCTCCGAAGAGATCTCTTCCCCAGGTTTCGGTGACAGCCTACTCCAATGTCAGTTTAAAGTGCGAAGTAGGTGTTAGGCCAAGCGACTGTTATGACAATTCTTTACAGTGGTATTTTAACAACAACTCAGGGGAATTAGAATTGGGTGAAAAGTATGATATACAAGAAAGGAAAACCAACACCAGATGCAAAACAGATTTCATTCTCACCATTATTAACGTTACTGAAGTAGACGAGGGAAAGTATAAATGTCAGTGGCTCTGCGACGAGTACTACCCCGACGATTCCAGGTCTTCAATTATCCAGCTGAAAGTATTTCCTCCTCCAGAAGAAGGTACTGATACTCCTGTGATATCTAAAGGTCTTGTGTCACGAAATTTATCAAATTTAAAAAGTGGAAATCCCCACCAAATTGAGTGAAACATAAAAATAACCGCTCAAAACCCAAGGGGGTACGGTACTTGTGTAAATGTGTAACTTGTGTGGCAAATATGTAATTTTCATGATCCCAACTTAGTCCCTTTCTATTTTTTATGAATTGACCCATTTTTAGATGGAATGAGGAACACTTTACTTTTCATCTGCAGTACAAACATTCTGGTTCGTTTTCTAACCATAAATATGGAGAACTATCTTACCCGAAAAACTCCGAAATGTGCGACCCCATTATAGTCAATCCAGTCGTGAAAATGCGGGCTCCCATCCAGCGGCAAACATCATGTCATTAGGACTCTTTTGAAGGGTTGAAACTGCTTGCAACTAAGTGTTTCATTAGAAATCTGAAGAATAACTCGCAATTGCATAATTTCATTCGATCTGAAATCAAATTGTACAAATATGTTCTATTTAATAAGTGTAATCAAATAATTGATACATGAAACTAGAAAAAGCGGAATAAATGCCGCTAAATGCTAAACGTTGATACAAGCGAGTCACATGGTTGTTGAAACAAACTCAATTTAAGCTACTTCAACTCTGTCTAAAAAGTAACGAAAGAAAGACTAAATTAACAAAAACGAAGGCAACATACAGTTCACTTACTCCTATGGCGACTGTTTTCTTAAATGTTCTTGAATAGGCATTAAATCGGTCTGGGTAGTAGGTAAACTGTTAATACTTTGATCTTTGCTGTACGGCGGTCGGTAAAAACTTATAAAAAACTCGAATAAAGCGGATACTTTTCTGGTTCCTGTTGGGCGTTTATGGTTTTCCAACTTTTGTCAGCTAGATTAAATATAAAGATTCCTTTGAATAGTTCTTTTATTACGTTAACACTGAGGTTTTGAAAACTGAAATATCCTAAAAGTTTTTCAAAAGTATTTTTATGTCTGCAACTTTTCATATAATGTTTGGGAGACAAATGTGTTCGACATGAAGCAGCGATTTTGGCATTTGCAAGTGATTTCTTAACTCACGCCGAGTTCCATTGAAGAAATTATATGTTCGTGCATGAGTTTTTTAATATTTTGTTGTTGCTATTGTTTTAAATCATCCGCCTTCAGGTCTGTGAATAGGGAAGGAAAAGTCGTACTCTACTGACAGACAGGTGGACAGCGAGGTTCCATAAATACGTGCACTTGAAATTTCCTTTTTAAACGGATAGGGCAATGGGAGGGTAAAGTTTACTTCTGTTTTTGAAATAATTATAGCGTAAATTATAGCTGCTATACTACTACATAAGAAATTTCTGCAGGACTGGTATTTTGGTATTTTGGTACTGGTATTTTACGTATTTTAACAATTTTTGAAATATCACTCATGGTATTTATGCCAAATATCACTGCTAATCATGCTATTACCTATACTTATACCACTACATGACAAATTTCTGCAATTTGATTGGCTTAGAGCAGTGGTATTTCAGCTTGAAATACCTACATGTGAAAAATTACAAAACCTTTGCGGGTAGTAGTATAAACAAATAATAGCATGATTTGTAGATGATATTTGGCATAAACACCACTCGTGATATTTCAAAATTGTCTTTAAATTTCACTTGCCTAACGGCTCGTGAAATTACGTATAACAATTTCGAAATATCACTTCAAATCATGCTATTACCTGAACAAATTTCTACTTGTGCGGCTATTTATTACTAGGTGCCAGACAGCAACTCTGTCGCGATACCCATGTAGGGGACGGCGACTCGTAACACCCTCCTTTATCTGCATAATCGTTTCACATGATACAGTAGCGGAATCAGAATCCAAGATCTGGGTTGAGTAATCAGTATTAGGTTCCAGACCGCTTATATCTTAGGGCAGGTTTTGCACATGCGCAGTTGCATTAAAATAATGACTAGCAAATGTTCGTTTCTTGTTGTTTAAGACCAGAATATTACAATTTTGGCGACGAGGATGGCGCTTGTAGGTCAAGTTGGAGAGTATGTGGACGGTAAAAAAGATATTGCAAGTTATATCCAAAGAGTGGAATTGTATTTTGCGGCGAATTATGTCAAGGCGGGTTACAAAGTTGCTACGTTTCTAGCGTTTATCGTAGCAGATGCATATGGCGTGCTGCGAAATTTGTTATCCCCTGAACGTCCAAAAGATAAGTCTTTTGAGCAATATTATAAAACGATTTGGAAACGATTTGGAAACCCAGTTCTAATTTCAAAGTCACTGATCAATAAGTTCCTGGAGATATCAGCAGATCAGGATAAAAACAATTTGACAACTCGCGCAACACTGTGAGAACATTCATGGAGCAGGCTTTAGACCAGCAACTAAGACTTGACCTAAGTCAAATTCAAACAAATCGAAGTGGCTCAGGAGAAAGAACACGCAAAGACTCATGTAATGCTTTGTGAGCTAAGAAAAACATGTACTGACATTGTATGAAACCTAGAAGAATCAACTGTAAGTGAACGATGGTAATCAGTTATAAGAGAAGATGGGTTTGTGCTTTAGATACAGTAGAGAACATCGTCGGCTGATACATTCCAATCCTTGCAAGCCACAGGAGAGACGTCATCACCTGGAGTACCAACTAAATCACAAGAGCTGTTGAGGTTCTGAAGAAGACTTGAACCGGTAAGTGTGCCCGCCCTGAAAGGTAGCGCTGCAGATGATACCACCATATTGATGGTGGGTCTGGGTCGTCCTTCCTCAAGAGGAGATCGCTGATAAACTGGGTTTTACGCACTCTGTGTTGCAGCTTTTAGAGCAAAGTCGAATGTAATGGATAGCAAAACTGTGGCTGTCCGCCAGCCTTGAGGGTATGAATTTGAACAACAAAAACAATTATTTTTTGGAAATTTGTGAAATAAAAGCAATTGATTGGTCCGTCAATGCAAGAAATTAAATCATAATCGCGACTTGGAGATCATAAAGCCAGTTCAACATATAGAAGTTGATTGAGAAGTGATTATTATGGGGAACTCCATTTTTTACCACTTGAATATCCAAAAGGACATCTGGGGAGCCTGTAAGAGTAAGGAAAACCACTTTCGCATAGACAATAGTTGAAATGTCTCGGATGAAGCAAACAGAGTGTCATAAAGGGCTTGCCATGTTTTATATACCATGCGACCTTTACTCCAAAAGGAGGCCGATGAGCTAAATACAGAAGATGTGGGACGAAAACGTTGTAAATTTACTGATCAAAACAAGCGCTTGAAAGCTGAGGAGGGTGCTTGCTGCGCGCAAGGGGCACAATCAAGGCGTTATGCTGAGGGGCTGTGAGTGGCAATTCCATGGAAGGACGATAATACGCCGTTGTGTTCAAACAGAAGACTGCTGAACACCGACTTATCTCTTGAAACACCTTCAGCCAAGACTGGGTGCACAGGAAAATACTGCCAGATAGAAGCCCAAGGTATAAAAGAATGAATCAAGGGGTTACATCCGAATTGCATCCAATTGGTACCTACCTCATTTTCGGCGGCGAGAAGACAAAGAGACTGAAAGTGAAATAGTCTACTATTCAGTAACCATATACGTAGGAATGAGCCATAATAGCATTTTGCCTGGACCAATGAGCAAGATGTCTTTTTTAAATGCACTTTTTGTTTCCCAGTTATCTTGTGGCCCTTTAGCAGATCTGACGGAAATTTTCTCATAAGTTACCATGGCGAGAAAGACGGAGGCACCACCCCCTTCCTGTGGGGAGTGAGGGTTACACCTCTCTAGACTTCCAGAAGTCTGAAGCAATGAGTTTGATGTTCGATGACCGCGCCTCCTTTATCTTGCCCAGTACGTTTGTGCGACAACATGCAGAAGATAACAGAAATGACCACCCCTTCCATAGCAACAATCGTAATCTTATTGCGGGTGCGTGGATGACATTATGACTTCATTGAGCACTAACGATGAAGGATTAAAGCTCGAGTAGCAGGGAGCCACTTGGCAAGACAGGCTTCAAAATGCGGTCTGGTTGTAGCAACAGGCCAGAACTACCTTGCATGAAAGCATAAGGAAAGCAATAAGATGATGAGACGGATGTGTTTAACTTCAAGTTGAATCCCCTGCAGGATGTTGTCTATACCGAGCGAAGGTTCGGAAAGAAATTTTATATGCTTTTTTTACCCATTACAGATGCTAGAGGAAGGATGGATATGTAGGGAACATGGTTACTGGGTTTAAAATAGGATGACTTGAAGAAGACGTATCCAGAATGGTTCAGTGAGTTACCAGAATTTTTCCAGAGGACAGTTTTCAAGGTGCTATCGCATTGCTGGGAAAATTGATGTTTGCACATCTATTCATACAATGGTAGACGCGTCGCTGTTGGCATATGCAGATGTAACTTACGTTAGGCACAAATATGAAGATGCAGCTCGAGAAGAAGAAGAAGAAGAAGAAGAAGAAGAAGAAGAAGAAGAAGGAAGCAGGCTGGGGCTCTTGGCAAGAAAGAAAGGTGTAAGAGCTGTACTCTCTGAACGGACAGAAAGGGCGTCGTTTTTCTGGATCCAGAGTCAGTCGAGGAGATCTTAGACTTCTGTGGCCAACGGAATATTTAACAATTATTCCTCGAGGCCGAATAGGCTCTGAGTCAATAGCCCATGAGGCCGAAGGCCGAACAGGCTATTGACACAGAGGCTATGAGGGCGAGAAAGAATAACTGTTTTAAAAAATCGAGACAAAACAACTTAAGCTTGGTAAAAAAATGTCTTTTTGCCACCAAAAAGCCGGCGCTTTTCGCTACTAGTGGGTTATAACATATAGCCTAGTAGTAGCTCAACCGGAGAACGCAAATTTATAATAGACCGCTAGTTGGATTTTATTAACAGATTTATCAGACGCCTAACCCTAGACAGTGGAACATGTACAAGACGTTTGTCGCCAACCGAGCATCAAAGATTCATCAGACGCTAACCC